GGTCAAAAGTTAAGATCACCAATCCCCTTGTATTTATTTCCTTTTAATATTTTGCCACAAGTTGAAACCCAACTTGTTCTAGGTGTCTTGTGATCACCTGTTTGTCCAAAACCGACTAAAACTTTCTTCACCAAAAGCGTCAAAAATGTCACAGAGAAAAAAAAATGAATATCGATAAAAGCAAAAAAAAAAATGTACCCACCTAAAAATCAAAGGTGACTTGTGTCAACCTTTTATCTGAACAACAACAAAAAAAATGTCTGGTACAGGATTGCCACGCGTTCTCCTCCCCCCTGCTAGCGATCTTATGGGGTATCACAAAAACTGTCTATGTCCGTTCCCCCTCCCGATCCGACCAGGGTACCTACCTTAATTCGATGTCAAATTTGGATATCCGCTTCTTATAACCGACGCGTGTAGAAGTCTAATGTAACTAAATCGACGATGCCGATCAGTTAGTTACTCTAATGTGTCCCCCCTCTTTACACTTCAAAACCACCAACCTCTAACTTAACCACCCCCCCTTCTAACCTCCCCCCTCTTAAGCCCCCCTCTTAAGCCAAAAATTCCCTTGAGCGCCGGGTGCTAAACCTCTCGAGAGAAAACCGTAGACCTGTTTCCAGGCCTGCTTGAGTAAAAACTTCCTCAAAACAATGGGGTTCCGCTTATCCAGTTTTACACTTATCTCCTATAATGTAATGTGGATTTTAACGATAACCGTTTGACCAACTTGAGAACACCCCGTCTTCTCTTGTTTCTCTGACCGTGCTGGTTGTTTCCTTGACTTGTCCTGCAGCTGATCACCAGCACAACTTTCCCACTTGGCTGGTCACCTGTTTCAGTCAAGTCTCCTAATGGTCCAGCTAAGTCCCTGTGAACCACTTTCCCACTCGACTGGTCACCTGTTCCAGTCAAGTCTCCTAATGGTCCAGCTATGTCACTGTGAACCACTCTTTCACTCGATAGGCCACCTGTTCCAGTCAAGTCTCCTAATGGTCCATTAAGTTGCAAGCTATCTGAAAACCCTTCACAACCTCCCACACTGGGGCACCTTTCAGATTGCTGAAATGACAGAAACGATCGGTCTTTTAAAAAAACAGTATGTGTATACTTTTAATTAATATAATGGTTTGATCCAACTAATTTGGTGTCAAAGTCACTGTCATTTTTTGTTTTATAGTTTTTGTTCCTTTTTCTGTTTTTTTTTCGGTTTTTGTTTAGCTTTTTGTCTTTTGCTCGTTTTTCACCCCCCCTAGTTACTCCCCTTTACTCGGTTAGCTAGGCCTCGTTCGGAGAGCGTACCAGGAAGTTTTCTCGAGTTTTCTTATAAAGCTATCACGGTACAACCGGAAGGTTTACACGTTCCCACTGAACCGTACCACCGGTACTCTAGAATGGGCATGTAGCCCGGAGCTGCGTCAAGTGGGTTCGACTCCGTAGTTATGATGTCGTAAGAACACCCAGGAGCGCCATAAAAACACTATGTAACAGTCGCCTATTTCGGTCACATATGAGGTTTATGAAGAATTGGCCCTATAACCCTTGGATCAAGTGTCAGGGACACTATCTCTCGTGTTTTTCTACCTCAAAACGGTCGGAGCCAATTCAGTTTGCTTGCGACATGAGACTAAAAACCCTTTAAAGCTTAAAGGTCACTACCAAAATACCCCTCACCCCCGCTGCTTTTTTAGGTACTTTCCCGCGATTGTATATTGGATGTTCTGATCTTTTTTTTGATATTTTCAGTTGTCGCGAGAAAGTTGAGCATGACAGGCTCCAATCGAAATTTTGAAAAATTAAATTACCTCCCAAAATTACGTATTTCGTGTTCCTCAAGGTCAAACTTCCAAATAAGACCGACTGGCACCTACTCCCCGGACTATCTGTAATGATGTTCTTTTTACTTGAGACTCGTCCTTCACTGTTTCTGGCGTGTTGCCCGTTGTGTCCGACACAGTGTCTATCGGCGAGAATTCCATCGACTTTTGATTTTGTTCCTCTGCATTCGGCATCGGTGTCGACTCCGTCGTCTTCTTCTCCACCTCATCAACACTCTGGTCTGGTGTTTCTAGGTCAATCTCAATGGCGGGTTCCGTTTGTTTCCCTTCCGCGCCCTCTTTCGTGTTGTTATCTTTAGTACTCCTTAAGTTGACCATGCTCACTGAAAACTTCTTCTTTGTTATTCTTGGGCCAACCGATGTCTTTTTTCGTTGCGACGAGTTATATTTTGTCCTTGACTCCGTTCCTTTTTTTTCAGCTATCGGTACCCTGCTCCGTCTCATGATTTTTATTTACAATTATTTCTATTTACAATTTTACCATTTACAAATTTCAATTCTAAGAATAAAAAAAAAATTTTGCTAATATAATAATAAAGAAAAACAACGTTCCTATTCCCTTTATGACTTATTAAAATTTTTTAAAAAACACCAACAGAATCCGATCTATCGCAATTTATCGTTCCGACTAGGTCTATTGCTCTTAAGACCATTTAGTACCGTCACACCACTTCTATGTACTGTCCCAACACTTCTATGTACTGTCCCAACACTTCTATGTATTGTCCCAACACTTCTATGTACTGTCCCAACCTTTCTATGTACTGTCCCAACACTTCTGGATACTGTCCCAACACTTCTAGATACTGTCCCAACACTTCTAGGTATTTTCTCAACAATTCTATGTACTGTCCCAACACTTCTAGGTCCAGTCCCAATACTTTATGGTACTGTCCCATGACTTTCCGTTACTGTCCCAAGACTTTCTGGTACTGTCCCAAGACTTTCTGGTACTGTCCCAAGACTTTCTGGTCCTGTCTCAAGACTGCCTGTCCCAAGACTGCCTGTCTCAAGACTGCCTGTCCCAAGACTGCCTGTCCCAAGACTGCCTGTCCCAAGACTGCCTGCCCAAGACTGATTGTCCCAAGACTGCTCGTCCCAAGATTGCCTGTCCCAAGGTTGGCTGTCCCAAGACTGCCTGTCCCAAGACTGCCTGTCCCAAGACTGCCTGTCCCAAGACTGCCTGTCCCAAGACTGCCTGTCCCAAGACTGCCTGGCCCAAGACTGCCTGGCCCAAGACTGCCTGTCCCAAGACTGCCTGTCCCAAGACTGCATTGAGCCACTGTACCTTGTACCACCAATCGAGCTCTAGTGAAAATTTCCCAAAAAAAACCCAACCTTACTGGTCAAAAGTTAAGATCACCAATCCCCTTGTATTTATTTCCTTTTAATATTTTGCCACAAGTTGAAACCCAACTTGTTCTAGGTGTCTTGTTATCACCTGTTTGTCCAAAACCGATTAAAACTTTCTTCACCAAAAGATTCAAAAATTTAACAGAGAAAAAAAATGAATATCGATAAAAGCAAAAAAAAAATGTACCCAACTAAAAATCAAAGGTGACTTGTGTCAACCTTTTATCTGAACAACAACAAAAAAAATGTCTGGCACCTGATTGCCACGCGTTCTCCTCCCCCCTGTTAGCGATCTTATGGGGTATCACAAAAACTGTCTATGTCCGTTCCTCCTCCCGATCCGACCAGGGTACCTACCTTAATTCGATGTTAAATTTGAATATCCGCTTCTTATAACCGACGCGCATAAAAATCTAATGTATCTAAATCGACGATGCCGATCAATTAGTTACTCTAGAGTGTCCCCATTTTTACACTTTACAACCACCAACCTCTAACCTAACCAGCCCCCCTTCTAACCTCCCCCCTCTTTAGCCTCCCTCTTAAGCCGAAAATTCCCTTAAGCGCCGGGTGCTAAACCCCTCGAGAGAAAACCGTAGAGCTGTTTCCAGGCCTGCTTGAGTAAAAAATTCGTCGAAAAAGAGTGAAAATTGCAACACTCTGAAAATGGTGACGGGAAAACCATTCGGCATAACGAAAATCGGGGCCAGAATAATGTCAATAATCACTGTGGGCGGCCATGAAGTAACGAGGAACTTGAACGAACCAAGCGATCAGACTATAATTGAAGGAGTGATATGGACAAACGTAGGTCATGCGCAAACTGCGGATCAGCGGATCATCATGTGGCGGATTGCACGACGTACAAGCAAGGCATGAAGAGTCTGGGATATGCATCGGATGAGGAAGATATGAGCCAGATGGAAGAACACAAAATCCATAGTGGCTTGATCATCAAGATAGGTGCGAGATGCTTCTTTTGCAATCAAGGGGGACACTTCAGGATGGACTGTCTATTGTTTTGGGAAGCAGTAAAGAACCAAAGTCACCCCAAACACAAGTTAGCGTTGGAGGCAGTGCAGAACACGAGAAACGGACAAGCCGAGTTTGAAACAAAAAACTCGGAGGCACCGAGTGCGGAACTACCGACAAAGACGGTGAAGGCTGTAACGCAAGTCAATATTGCCATGGGAGCTAAGGCCAGGAATTTTCTGGAGATAAAATATGAGAGAGCAGCTGCAGAGGCTATCAACAAAGTGAAACGAGACCTAGCGACGAAGGAGATTGAGCATCGATTGAAACAGGAGATCGAAAGGCACAAGTTGAATGAGACGTTAAGTATGTCAGTGCCAATGCCAGAAGCCGAAGTGGGAGCGACAAGGAGTGGAAATTGCAACACTCTGAATATTTTGACGGGAAAGCCATTCGGCATAATAAAGATTGGAGCTAATAATGTCAATAATCACTGTGGGCGTCCACGAAGTAACGAGGAACTTGAACGAACCAAGCGATCAGACTATGATGCCAATTGACGTGTATGCAGATTACTTGAGTGCGATAAGCCGACAGACGACGTCTAGAGCCTTGAGGGCGCTACTCACGAGAGGTGGCAGCAAGTCAGTCCGTGTTGAAAACAGATATACAGAAGCTTATGGTCCGCATGAGGTGATGCTAAACATAGATGGGATAAACATCCATACGAAAACCATGATAACATGTGATGAAGATCTAGTGGGGCAAATCTAAGTGGGCAAAGAAGAACTAAAAGTGAAATCGATTGAACACTGCGCCATGCTGGAAGAATATGCAATGCACATCGGGACGGAAACGTACGTGTCGGCACACGTGCTCGACATAAGTGGCAAAAAGACTCAGTTACGTGGGTTACTTGATTCGGGAGCGGTCTTGAGTGTTATACCAATGGGTTTGATTTGGGAACGAATGGGTTTTGACAAAGTGGACTTGATATACTCAAGAATACGGCTATCAGCTGTTAACAAAGGGGCGCTGCGGGTACTAGGCAGAACACCAATAATAGCCCTAAATCTAGGGGAACGCAGCCTGTGGATGAGCTTTCTAGTGGTGGAAAACCTAAACGAGTCTGACCAGTTCATTTTAGGCAGAGACTTCATCAGGAACTTCGACGTAACGATTGATCTAAACAACGCCATGTTCAGGATTCGAAACCCGGTTAGGAAGTACGTAATTAAACCGGTAAATCTGATAATGGCAAATGAAAATAAAGTGCCGGTGTTCTTGAGTAGAAGGGTAAGGCTGAAAGCGAACGAAGCGGCAATTGTAGGCTTACGGATGAAAAATTTTAATGAGTTAAGTGATAGTAAGCAAGTATGCATAGTTCCCAATCCAAACAGTCAAAGTGCTGCTGTTTTAGGAAGATCCTTCTCGATAACCAAGAGCGGTCTCTGCGTCAGTGTCTTGTTGAATACTCTTGACATACCAATAACAATCCTTAGGGGAAGGAAGTTGGGATATGCCTTACCGGTGAAAACTCGATATGAAATGACTGAAAATGTAAAAGAGAATGAAGTAATTGATTGTCCCAATCACAGGGACAAGATCTGTATCTTGAGACGATTGAATAAAATAAAAAGTTCATCAGGTCTTGTAAAGTCACTTAAGTCGGAGACAGACGATGGACTATCGAGTTGTTCAATTTTCCCAGAAAGACCAACATTAGAGGAAATGGAAATGAATAAACCAGTTTTACCTGAAATATAGCATTTGAGTGGTAAGGTAACGGATGAACACCTCGAGGCCATCAAGGACGTAGTAGAGCGGAACGAGGAAGTTTTTTCGAGACATAAAGCAGACATTGGATGTTGTAATTTTGTTGAACATGAAATAGAGCATGAGGAGTCCGCGGCACCGCACAGGGAGGGGGCGAGGCGCATGACCCCACACAAATCGGATGCGTGTAGGAAAGAGATAGAGACACTACTAGAGTATGACATGATAGAACCATCCAAATCACCGTGGGCGTATGGAATAGTGATGGCCAAAAAGAGAGGAGGCGACCAATTGAGGTTTTGTTGTGACTTTCGGTACCTGAACTCCGTCACGGTGAAGGATGCCTATCCCATACCTAGGATTGATGACAGCCTTTCGAAGTTAGGTGATGCAAAATTTTTTACGACTCTTGATTTAGGTTCGGCTTTTTGGCAAGTCCCGTTGAGGAAGCAGGACAGGGACAAAACAGGGTTCGACTGCGAGTTAGGGCTGTTTCAATGGAAACGGATGCCGTTTGGTCTTTGCAATGCCCCGGCTACATTTCAACGGTTGATGGCACATGCATTGATAGGTGTGACAAAGAAGTATGGCAATCTGGTAATGTGCTACGTGGATGACGTGGTAATAGCGACGCCTACACTGGAAGATCACATCGAGCGACTGGAAGAGGTATTTGCATGCATGAAGAGGTCGGGGCTAAAGTGCAAACCATCAAAGTGCGAAATAATCAAGGATTCAATAAAATACTTGGGGAGGATGGTGGACAGGCACGGCATCAGACCAGTTCCAGATGCAGTTGAAACAGTGCTGACTTGGAAATCGCCAAAAACAGAACACCAATTGATGAGCTTCCTGGGTTTCGCGAATTGTTACATGGAATTCATCAAGGGTTATGCGGATAAAGTATACCCGATGCAACAATTAATGAGACACAAGGGCAAGAAGTTCACGTGGAACAACGCAGCTGAAGAATCATTCCAGAGAATAAAGAAAGAGTTGTGCGAGGCAAAAGTGTCAGGGATGCCAACGGAGAAAGGGATGTACGTGCTGGATACGGATGCGTCGGTAATCGCGATTTCTGGAATTCTCAGTCAAGAACGGGAATGGAACGGTAGGACAGTCTTGAAACCAATAGCATACGGGAGCAAAGTCTTGAGTGATACGGAAATGAAGTACGGGCGCCGAAAGCGGAGATGTTCGCGGTGGTTACCTTTGTCGAGAAATATAGAGCATACCTAGGCAGTGAGCCATCCAAGCTGCAAGTCGACAACAGGGCACTCAGCTGGCTGAAGACGTACTTAATGGACCAGAGCTACATTGGGAGGTGGATAGTTCGCCTGGACGGGTACAACATGATAATTGAGCACAGAACAAGGGACAAACATCAAAATGCCGATAGCTTTAGTAAGAAGACGGAGTTCTATGAGAGACAGGAACAGAGGGAGGCAAATAGGCCAGAAAAAAAGAGGGCTTCTCCTTCATGGATAAGGAAATGTATGATAGTCTTCCAATTACGAGATAGCTCGACAAGTCAGGCAAACCGATACAAGATCAAAAGAGCATCCAGAGAAAACAATCTTGAAGAAGACCCGAGGGATGCCGATGGGGATAATGCTCAAGTCAAAAATTGTGAGAGAGACGCTCAAGGCGAAAGGCTATGATCTCAACAAGGTAGAAGCGGGAGAAGCACAGATAGATGAGGACTTGATGAGATTACTCGAGAAACTGGCAGACGATAAACCCGTGATCGAAAGAAAGGGCAAGGAGGAACCGGAAGTCACGATATTGCGAAGGAGTGAGACAGTCGGCGGCGAAAACACCTCAGGAGAGAGTAATCCTGATGGTAAAGAAATCGTGCAGTCACTGGTGGACAAACCTCTGATGACATACTTGAGCGGACTCGGGTTAGGAAAAAGAAAGTGGCGTTTAAGGAGGAAGATGAACACCTTGGAATAGGTCAAGAGTCCGGGGAGTGGTGGCCCACAGAGGAAGAAGATGCTGGAGAAGAAAAATTGTCCGGGGAGTGTGAAGAATGGGATGAAGATTCGGAGGGCAGCAGCGACGACCAAGATAGTCTGTGCATGATACTGGCGGAAGAGAAGATGAGACACCGCGACAGGGAGCTGCAGACGGATCCCTCATCAGGAACACACAATTTGGATCAGCTTGGAAGAGCTTGAGAAAATTGCAGTATCGAGGAAACCGCCCCGGGAACTATCTTGCAACTCGAATGTCAGAACAAATCTGGTGCCAGAGGACGACAGAAAGATCATGAAAAGGATAGTGTGCGTTAAGCTGAAAGATGACATCCACAACCCTGGGGAAATGAATGGTCAGGTAATGGCACTAAAGGAACATGTCAAGGCGAGATACAGGCTGTCGGATCTAATAAGGGCCCAAAAGAATGACAAGATGACAAGTAACCTCTCCAAATGGAACCGGACGGGATCCAAAGAGAAGGGGGACCTGGAAGAGACAGCTACAAGATCTTGAGCCAGTTCTACAAAGAAAGGAAGGATTTACTCTATCACACGGCTGATGGGGTGGTAGCGTACAAGAGAAAGTATGAGGAGAAGATATTGCATAAGCACAACCTCATCATATTGCCACAGTTGTATCAGACCGAAGTGTTATTCAGATCGGACGATCAAATGGGGCACCAGGGGATAGACAAGGTGCAACAGAGATTAATTCACAGGCTTGACTGGCCAGGATTAAGGAAAGCCTGCGAGCGATGGGTAAATGCATGCCTGCGAGTGAAAGACCCAAGGAAGATGAAGTTTCCACTCAAGTCTGTTGAGAGCTCGGAGTTCAATGAAGTTGTGCAAATAGACCACCAAAAGATCTGTATGACAGAGTCAGATATAACCAGCTACTAGTCATAATAGATCACTTCACAAAGCTGGCTGAAGCGGTGGCGTGTCAGACAGCCTCGCAGAGGAAACTTGTGATCACCTGATAACACACTGGGTATCGCGGTATGGCTGTCCCATGACATTTCAGTCGGACAAAGGCAAAATCTTCGTGGGGGACTTAACGAAATAATTGATGAAGAGGTCTCACATAGCTCAAGCGCACTCAACGACCTACCATCCCCAGACCAACGGGTTGGTGGAGAGGCAGAATAGAACGTTGGTGAACATGCTGAGTGTATACTGCTCAAGGTACATGACGGATTGGGATAAGTATCTGCCGCAGGTGGTTAGGGGCGTACAACAGTACGCAACACTCAACAACATGAATCAGTCACTTCATGATGTTGACGGGCAAGGAAAGAGCAATGCCCCTAACATTCTTTTACCCGGAGTACAAATGGAAAAAGAGGTCGCCTCAAGTTTATGTGAAAGAAGCGATCAGGAGACAGCAGGAATTAAACGAGCTCTGCAGGAGGAATACTGCGCAAGCACAAATGAGACAGCGCAAGAAATACGATGAGAAGATACTGCAAGCGAAACCATACGCAGTGAGCCAGTACGTGTGGGTCTTCCAGAATGTCATACCTCCCGAAGGTACAAAGAAATTACTCAAGAAACGGAGAGGACCGTTCATGATAACGGCAGTGCACCAGCAAGGACGGTTTTATCGCTTGAGTACGGGGCGTGCAGCGCATTATGAAAACTTGAAACCTCATGTCCCATCCCCAGAAGACTGGTGCGTACCGCAGAACATGACGGAACTCAAGTACCTATTGGTGGAACCAGCTTGCCAGGTGAATGAAAAAGGCACCCGAGAGAAAAACGATGGCAACGAGGGCATGAGTCTGGACGACAATGAAAAAATAGAAGCGGATTCAGAGGAAGAATCCTTTGTGGAAGAATACTGGAACGATCCGGAGCAGGACGAGGTGCCGAAGTGGACGGAACCAGACTTGCCGATGACGACAGGAAACAGGAGCGGTAATCGTAAACGGACGGGCATGAGGTACAATAGGTACGGGGATGACTTCTTAATTGACAAGATAAGGCCTGATGAAGTGGGTAACGAGTTACTGAGTGTGGGCGAATTGGTGGCAGGCGACGCATGGCAAATCATCAACGACAGTGAACACTATCCAAAGGAGGATTACTCCACACCAGAACAAGAAACAGATCTGGAACAGAGCGAGATAGAGAGGAGGGAGAACACGAACCTGAGAATACTGGAGTGGATGCGTGGGGTCAAGAGCGAAGAAGACGGAGGGCTAAGCATCAAACAGAACGACGTGTGAAAACATGTGAACGACGTGAATAGAACAACATGTGAAAACGGAAGATCCCCTCTTCGGTTGAACAGAACGACGTGAATAGAACAACATGTGAAAACGGAAGATCCCCTCTTCGGTTGAACAGCAACCGAAAAGCCGCTAGAAATACCCCCAGATGATTTAGACCCGGCATCATCGACGGGGACGTCGATAAATATTTTTGTCCGGGGAGTGGGGGTAGGACTTACCCACACCAAAAATTTGATGATAAAGAAACTGAGGGAAGTAAGAGAAACCAACGGACTAGAATTGGGAGAGGAAGAAGCTGAATCTACCATAGGACGTAATTTCAAAACGAAATTTGAGATTCCCAATGAATACACGGACAACATCCTAATAACGAACAGCGACTTCATTCTGTCAGACAGGACTACCGCGATCTGTATAACGGCGGACATGACATGAGCTTCAAATCGAGACTGGAGGCTGACTTCAAGAGAGAATACCAGAACGTGGAGTTTTTGTTCAGACAGAGACTGGGGCTGGGAGGAATGGCTGAGCTTCCCCCATCAGGGGCACAAGTCCCGGGCAAATACCTGTGCTTTCTAGTGACGGGTGTCAATGAAAGGAACACGATAGATCCTGAGCACGTATTGTTAGCACTAACGAGACTGAGGGATTTCATGATTGAAAGAGGGATAATGGAGGTCTCGATGCCAGTTTATGACCCAAACAGGGGCAAGTTGAGCCCAAGGGAGTTGTATGCCATCCTACACGTGGTCTTCGCAGAAAGAGAGATAATGGTACACCTACACAAGAAGAACTACTTGAGTATCGCCTGAGCTACGAGTGGATAACGGAGGTCTCGAGTTGGGGGTACATGTGGATCTTGAGTAAGGGTACATGGGGACCTCGGGGGCAGGTAGATGGATTTTAACGTGATTGGCATGACATTTATAATTTAAACGGTGCTAAAACATTAAATGAATCTGCATGTTCCTAAAAACTTCCAATTGAATTATTTTAGAAAAACGGTTGGAGGATTAAGGTTTTAACTACAAAAATGGGGGGGGGGGGTTCAGGTTAGGAATATGACACCTTAGTCTAAAAAGTGGATTTTACTTTCAGATTGATTTGATCAAACCAAAGTTGACGACTAAAACACACTCATTGGAAAGAGAGTAGAAAGTCTTGAACAAAGTTCACGTTCAGAAACATTCGGAAGAGATTTCTCAAGTACTCAAGTTGGTACGTGATTCACGAGTTGCTACGGCATTTCACGAGTTGGTTCGCTAATTCACGAGTTGGTTCGGTAATTCACGAGTTGGTTGGTGCGCGAGATAAACTAGAAGTTGTAAAAAAATGGCAGAGCGATTTTGGAAGTCCAAGCCTGCGGCACTAAAGAGGCCGACGCTCGATGAGTTATACAGGCGTTTGAGGGACCTGGACTACACCCAAGTGGACAAGAGGATGGCAGTGATGTTGAATGCCATCCTGCAATTAGAGGAGCAAGGCGAGTGCAGGGAATCCGCGACCGAAGCTGTCTTGATGGTTGGCTACACCACGGAAGGTATATCCAATCAGGAACAGACGAGATGGCTATCCTGGAATGTGGATGGAGGGGTGAGAGGATTCGACTTGGCGAGGAATCCTGGCTTAGGCAATACCACTGAGTACGGCGCGGGAGAATTCCCATTGCCGGTCACACCGTCAGCAAGATCGGCTAGCCAGTCCGCGAGCAGGCCACCTTCTATGACGCGAGCCCAGCAAACGGAAGAGACGTATGCAGTTCCTCAGCAACTTGAAAAGGCGCAGAGAGAAAAGAACAAAGCGAATATTGACCGAGATATAAATCGAGAGAAATCGAGCGAACTCGAGAGAAATCAAGCGAACCTAGCAAGATATCAGGCGATAGTTGAGAGGGATCAAGCGCGTCGTGACCTTGATATGCTGAGAGCAGAACACCAGCAGGAGCAGAGGGTGCGAGAGAACGCGGCGAATTGCGAGCAGTTGAAGTCGGAGCTGGAAAGAATCCAGAGGCGATAAAGAGAGCTCGACCAACAAAAGCAGAAGGAAACCAGGACGTCGGAACGAGCTGCTGCGAGCTCAAGGCCGGAGTCGCGTATGGAGGTGGATGAGGCTCCCAAGTCGAAGGAGAGATTCAACTTGGACCGTGCGGCTCCAGAGCACATGAACGAGGGGCTGGAAGTATGGATACCAGCCGAACCAGCATCCTCCCTGCGCGGTTCAGAGACAACGCAACCAATACGCCCGTTGATGGACGTGGCACTGCCGGGATACACCCCGAGCTCAACCACGAGCAGCATTCAGGTGAGCGAGAGCTCGTCACGTCTTAAGGAATTACACGAGAGGTTACAGCTGAGGAGTCGCGAAAATCCAGCTCGAGCAGAGGTACCAGGAGAGAGCAACCGTTCAGGAGTGTTGTGATCGCAAGCTACAAGAAGAACACGGAGGGCATATCATATACCACCAGCACAATCGCATCGATTGGAGCGCGGCGCAGCGGGCGAGAAGGGATTGCTTGCATGATGCATCCTGGGCTGAATATTCCACACTGCCGCGAATACCTGAGGGTGCATTTCACCTGATCGTAGGAGACAGCCGGATAAGGGTGCTGACCCGAATCCAGTCGCACTGGCAGACTGGAGTCTTGAGTTTTTCCGGAGCCGCAACACCGCAGATGTTGGCATCACTCGAGATGGTAGGGATGGCGAAGATGTACACGGTGACCCTAATGATGGGGACCAATGATGTGTCCAGAGGAGAATTAAGGAAAGTCATGAGGTTTCACGACAAATTGAGCTGCATCTTGGAGGAGTTAAGGATTCAGATGGATCCTGCCATACTCATCGTTTACACCATCCCTTACAACATGATGGCCGACCAACATGCGATGGAGATGAACGAGAAAGTACGAGTCCTGAACGGGATGATCAAACAGATACATCAAAGGAGCGTTCTCCCCATCAGGTTGTT